TGTTAAACTCCTGTGCATTAGGCACCGATGAGACTGGTGCCTGCGGCCTCCTCTGATGCTGTGTACAAACAGCGCAATCATGGTTCTGGGCATGCTTGATGAGGGTCTCATGTGCTCCTTTCATAGTCAGAAGCCGACAGAGCTCTGCATTCGTTGGGTGGCCAAGATTGCGATGCAGCCTGCTGATAGTCCTCTTCGCCAGTTGGCTGTCTGGTGATTGTAGTCGCTGTAGTACTCCCGTTTGAGGTTGTTGGTCTCCTCGAGGGCCATCAGTGGATGGATCATTCCCCCGAGGTGTAGTCTGAGCAGAGTTGGCATTGGGCTCGTCCTCACGATGGTGGTCGGCGATGGTAGGAGTGTACTCATCATCTCCCATATCTTCATCATTGAACATCGCCATGTCCTCTGGCTCATAGTACAACATGTCGATTGCCTCTCCAATCCAGTAGCAGAAGGTCTCTTGGCAGGCTCCAGCGGCCTTTGTCAAAGAGCCGAATCCAGGTAGGGAACCTTCCAGTTGGAGATGTTCATGATCACCAGGGCACTTCCAAGCCAACATGTCCACCATTGAGGGACTCGTCAGTTGCAGGCGTGTTGGCTTCTTGATGTATTGGTCAGCAATCTTGGTTTCATAGGCACATTGGTCCAAGCGGCATGGCCATCCTGGGAGATTGCTCCAAGTCATAGTGTCCCATGCCTTTGACCAAGCTGGATGCTCTATGCCAGCGTCTCTTCCTTCGTTGTACTGGATGACGAAGGTTCTCTCTGCCAACTTCAGGTGCACTGCCTCCTCATAGTCCCGCTCGCATTGCAGCGCAAAAGTCTGTTCCGGGGTCAGCATGTTGAGGGCCTGCATCTTCGACCATTTCTTGCATGCCGGAGCTATCCAGACAAAGTCCGGTGCAATGTCCTCCAGGAGCTTGTAGTATGAGTTCCGGTGATCTGGCATGTCAAAATCCCAGCCAGTGTTGAGGTCGAAGCTGAAGACGACATAGCCTCGCCTTTGCATCTCCATGGACAATCCTGCCTCTGCGGAATAGACTTCCCAGAAAACCTTTGCCCCTTGTTCATGTGCTCGAAGGCCTTGTTCCAACACTGTCCTGCGATGGGCAAACATCGTCGCATGATGGAAGCGAATGCCTCTCAGCAACTTGTCAGTGATTGCCTTTCGAACAGCTGCAGTTTCTTCTTCATCTTGTAGAGCCAGAGGTCTTTCATCTGCGAGCTCTTCATCAGTGACGTTCTCGTCATCAGCTTGCAGACAGTGTTCAGGAGGTTCACGACCAGTTGCCTCCAAGTACTGAAGCAGCGTGTAAGTCGAGGAATGCATCACACCTGTTCTTTGGACCATCTCGTAGGTCTCTGTTGTCACCAAATCGAAGAACACATTGTCTCCCTTGGGGTCCTGCTCCACTCCATCATAGAGGCGTAGAAGGTACTCTCCACGCTCACGTACAGCTGGCTGCCAGGCCGTGTCCCCATAGCAGATGAGGTCCTTGTCCCAGTCAACCTTCACCTTGAGGGCTTTCAGAATTGGCCTTCCAACCAAAAGAGGGGTTGCGCCGTCCACCAGGAAGCACTCAATCAATCCTGAGGCTCCGTTGACATAGACCGGCAGTCGCACCGTCCATTCAGCCTTTCGCATGGCATCACCTCCAAAACCGAAGAGCTTCGTGGTGGGATGGAAGGTGTAGCGCTCCAATGGGACGCCCTTGTTGTGCATGAACTCGATGATATGCATCAAGGTCTGATGTCCACATACCATGCTACTGGCCCCTCCATCTTGAAGTCCATACCATCCTTGGTCTGACAGCATGGCTGTGCTCTTCTGTTGGAGATCGTGCATCATGTAGGCCTGTCCAGAGCCCTTGGGCGATCCCTCAGTTTTGGCTCTCTTCGGTGATTGCGACCCCTTGTTCATGGGACAGTCAGCAGCTGCGTGGCCATAGCGCCCACATTTGAAACACTGCATTGTTTCCAGTGCTGCCCTTCCTCGTTGAAGTGCTCCTCCTTTCTGAGGGGGTGACTTGCCCTTACTCTTGCCCTTCTTGCCCTTGGAGCCTTTGGTCACCGGCCGTCGCTGCAATGTAGAAGAGCTCGAAGCACCTGACATGTCAGCAGGAGTGGTGAGCGCCACCACTGGATAGTACCCCGAGCTGCTTTCAGGTTGGCGAACTGTCTCCTGGCGTCTAAATACGTGGCATAGGCCTCTTCCAGTTGCGGATCAGGGTCTTCAGGCCATGGCTCTTCTTGGTAGTAGGCCTCATCCTCAAAGACGCCGTAGGCGTTCTCATGATCGTCATACTCGTCCAGGGCCTGTTCATCCTCAAGGAACCCCTCCTCCAAGACATAGGCATCCTCATAGTCCTCGCCAAACTCTGGGTCATACTCCTCTGCGGTGTAGCCCTGTTGATGCTTCCGTGGATACCATCTTGGCCCTTTCTTTGGGAGGTTCTTGTTCCATCGAGGCTGACCTTCTGCTTTCGTCTTGAAGTCCTGTCCGTACAGGTAATACATGGCCTCCTCCACCTTGGTGGACTCCATGGTCGCCCCAACCTGGGATTGCACCAGGTGTTTCTGTTCTTGAGTCAGATTGCTCCTCCGGAGTAACATCCACCCTGACACGCTGTCAGGGATTCTGACTCCGTGTTTCTCGATCTCACGAAGTTGTTCTCTATGTTCCGTGCAATAGGAGAGGAGCGTCTGGTCGGATTTCCGACTCAGTTGATAGAAGTACTTCTTGAGGGCCCGTGGCATCTCCACTCGACTGTCGTACTGAAAGGCCACGTCGAGTGCTTTCAACACCCGATCGAAGCCGTCTGAGGCTTCTGAGACGGCCTCGACCATGTGTTCGACCTGTTTCCAGGCCGTCCCATGAAGGCTGGTCAGCAAGTTCAGGATCGCCTCCTTCTCTTTTCCTTGGAGCGAGAGCTTCTTCTTGTATAGCGTGATCCTTTGCCGCCATTCACGGTAGTCCGAGACCTTGTTGTTGAAGACGGGGATGAACGTGTCCTTCATAGTTTCGATGGTGCCACCAGCCACCGAACTTGTAGTCGATGGGCCCGAGGTTGTAGGCCCATCTCCGCCACCGCCGGGCATCAGAGCGCGAGCGCAACCAGCGCTCCGCTACCAATGTTGGTCAGCGGGAGCGTCCAACCGGTTCCAGGTTCACGAAGTCCTGGTCGATGTTCGAACGTAGTCGGCCGCACACCTACGGCCCTTTTCGCATCCACATGGCTTCGAGGTGCGCACGCCCTCCACTTAGGTTTGAGGCGCGCGATCGAACACAAAGTGACTCCTATATCATGATGTGCGGCGCACAATTCACAAGTGAAGCTTAAAACAAACAACGCAACCATGAGCTCGCTGCATGAACTGTTGCTGAACCTGGAACCTCGGATGCTAACTTGGACATGCCGAGGTGCTGGACGAAGCAAAGCCATCACCTCCAGCTTGTTGTTTTCTTTAGCAAGCTGCCAGGGCGTCCGGCCTCGGTTCACTGGCCGTGGTGAGAAGGCGAAAGCATCGGCTATTGAAAGTGCGATTTGCAGTTTTGAGTACCGATGCCACAAACATCCATCCATCTTCACCGTACACCTTCGAGATTTGTCACATCCAAGCGCTGTACCAGTTCTTTTCTGTCTTTCAGTTCAATTTCTTGGTATATGATCTTTCCGACTGTAGTCTGGGCATCATTATGACATGTTTCACCTTCAAGATTCGTGAGGCCCAAGTACTACCATGTTGTTCTTCTCTCTCTCTCTCTCTCGGTTCAATTATCTTGGAGACTTGTTCTTTCCGACGATCATCGACCCGCCCGACCCTCGTGACTCGGAATGAGTCGCTTTGGATCCGGTCGGCGCAGTCTCCGCAGCCTTCCGGCCACGTCCCGAGCTCCGGGGCTCCCCGGCCGTACTTATTCTCTGCTTCCACCGTGGCTTTCGCGGCCAAGAGCCGCTCGAGGACCTCCACGTGGCCCTCTTCGGCCGCAAGGTGGAGAGGTCTGTAGCCTCGGGACGCGCGCGGAGAGAGGCATTGAGTGGTCAAAAAGAAGTCGAGAACTGCCGGGTCTTTGGCCCATCTTCTCTTGGAGAATCCTTGGTGCAAATACCAGTGAAGACCCTATACTTGAGCACAAACAAACATGAACAGCGCGCTAGCACAGCTAACGAATACTTCTTTTTGCTGTTGCTCCGGGGCCAGGTGTTGGATGAGCTGTGAACTTGCGTGTGGGGGGGTAATTTTCGCATTCAACACAAACAGGGATGCCGTGCATTGTTTCTCATGATTCTGGTTGTTGTGGGCTGCCAT